TTAAAAAAAAGTGCGGGAAATGCTGATTCTAATTCTGGCAAAGTCAAATTAAGAAATAGAGAGAAAATTAGGCAATTAGTGGCAGATGGTAACTTGGAAGAGATATCCAGACTGAAACTCCGAGGTTGAAATTCGGTCATCTTATTTACATATACACAGCACTTCCCCAATACCTGCAGAGGACACCTTTCAAGAACCCTGATGGCTAAGACCGCAGAGAACTGAGCCCTACAAAAATTGCTGTTTTTCTTCACATATCATAAATTTTAATTTATAATTAGGCACAGTAAGAGATTAAGATTATGTTAAGAGATTAATTTAAGTAAGAGACAAAATAGAACAATTATAACAATAAGCTATGATAAGAATTATGAGAATGTGGTTCTCTCAACATGAGTAAATCAACAACTTTTTATACTGTACTACATTGTGTGTGTGACTGTAAATAGAAGGGGAATAAAAATAATAAGCAGATACTATTAGCATTTACTGAACTAGCCATTGTTCTGCATGCCTAGAAGTATTAATCAAGCAGCCTCCAGACAAGTACTCTTATTAAGCCCATTTTATAAATGCGAAGGCGCAGAGTGATTTATCTGTCCAAACACCCACAGCAAATGAACACTGGGCAGACTTTTAACTGAGGTGACCGAGAATCAAAGTCCAGTATCTACCTGTCACAGGCAAGGACCTGTGACCCCAGGGTGCTCTGATTCTACAGGAGAACCTGAACTGACCCTGCTCGCTGAGGTCCTGCCAGAGCTCACTCCCTGTTCCGGTTCCCGTTCTTGTGAGCTGTTATTTTCCACATTCCCTCAAGGTTTATCCTTTTCCAGCCTTAACCAGTCTCGCAACACTCCTCCTCACTTTGGCCCCCGCTTCGCCCATCATTCTCGCACTTTCTGAAGCTATTCTTTATGTCATGTCCTCATCCACCTCCTTCAACAGATCTGTCACCATGCAGCTCCTGGGTCTTTCCCCAAAGCCATACTGTTTGGTTGTAAGAAATACTTTGAATTCTTACAACCAAACAGACCTAAGTGGAACATTCTTAATTTACACCTGCCTTGAAATTTGTTTTCATTATCACATATCACTTGGAAGAAAAAAAAAATCCAATTCCAAAAATGTTCACAGACCATATAGATTCTTACTGAAAGTTTCAGAAACAGGCAAGAAAGTTACAATGACTATCCCATAGCAAATTTTTCTTTTAAAATCTCCTTTACCACAAGGTGATAGAACTAAACCAATTAAAAATAAAATAAAACTTTAAAAACTTCTCTTTTTTTTTTGGAACTGGGGATTGAACTCAGGTCCTTGCGCTTTCCAGGCAAGTGCTTATTCCACTGAACTCTCTCCCCAGCTCCAAACACTGGTCTTTTTTATTATTATTTATTTATTTATTTATTTATTTATTTTTTGGCAGAACCAGGGATTGAACTCAGGTCCTTGTGCTTGCAAGGGAAGCGCTTATTCCACTGAGCCATCTCCCTGGCCCCTAAAAACTTCTTGAAGCCACATGTGGTGGTGCACATCTGTGATCCTAGTACTCGGGAGGCTGAGGTAACACAAAAAGCTCCACAGCACTGTGGACTCCATAGTGAGTTCAAGGCCAGCCTAAACTACATAATGAGACCTTGTCTCAAAAGAAAAAAAAAATTCCTTTAATCAACTTGACCTTTCTCCAAAGCCCTTATCGAGGCAGCTACCCTGTCCTTTTTTCTTTCATCTCATTCTCTATAAACCATACACAACCAAAGACATGGAAGAGTCCAAAGCAAAACAAATACTCAGCACACCTGATGATTTCTTAGGCATTTCCCCATTAATCCAGCCATCCACAGTTGGAGAAGTTAAGGCCCAGACTATTTAAAAGACAGACAAGGGCCAGCGAGATAGCTCAGCTGACCAAGCGCCTGTTTTGGCAAGTGCAGGGACCAAGGTTCAATGCCCAGCCCTGCATGCCATGCTGGCCCCGCCCCCGGGTGCAGTGAGTTGGCAATCAAGTCCAGACATAGTGGCGTACACCTGTAATCCCAGCACTGGGAAGGCTGAAAACAGGATCACTAGGAGACTGAGCTGTGTAGTTAAAACCTGTACCAAATACATTTAAAAAAAAAAAAAAAGACAGACCTTGCTGGGAAGATAACTCAGCAGCAAAAGTGCCTGTCTGGCCAGCACAAGGTCCTGAGCAGACATGAACTCCCCCAAATCAGAGCCAAACATTGGTTTCCTGGTCTAACATGTATGTGTGTGTGAATGTTTCCCAGTGCTGAGAATGGAACCCAGGCCATCATGCATGCTACGTGACCACCGCCCACACATTCCCGACTTTCTGGTCTGGTATTCTCTCAGCCAAAGCACCCCGCTTAACAGAGAGCCTCCCTCAAAGAGAATGCAAAAGGAAACGACAGGGCAACGTGAGCAGGAACTTCTCAAGAACACAGGATCCAGACACACAAGCAATGAGCAGCGCTGAGGACATGAGCATCTCAGACATCTGCCCGCTACTTGGAGCTCAGAGCACTTACTCTGGCCTTCTTCTCATCTGTTCCACATCCAGCGAGGAAACAAATGTTGGCCTTCGGGCAACATTCTTCTGAGTCTTGGAAATGATGTTGGTCTGAATCATCCCTTTGGAAAGAAAAAAATAAAACAATCAAGAATCATCCTAGAAAATGACTCATGATTCAGAGGCAATTGGCAAATGTTCGTGACCAACTTGTACTGCATGAACTTGGATGAAACCTGCTTGTGATAAGACACGTATATCCCCCACTGCGCACTCAAAGATTTATAACGCAATGTGGTAAGTGAACATTCAGGAATAAACCTAATATTCAACTCCAAGGTGAATGGCAAAAAAGGAGGAGAGCTGGGATATCAGATGGCCAGACATCATGTGCCACGCATGCAGGCAGCCCCAACCCAGAAGGCAATGATTATGACTCAGCGCCTGTAAGCCAAATCTTTGAACACCCAAGTGTGAAATCTTATTTCCAGTTCATGCACCTAGTTGGCCTGGCTCCGCACTGTGACAGTGATCCGTTTAAGAAGTAAATCATGCTGGGTGTAGTGGTGCACGCCTGTAATCCAAGCATTTGGGAGGCTGATGGAGGACTGCTGTGAGTTCAAGACCAGCTTGGGCTCCACAGTGAGTTCAAGGCCAGCTTCTTCTATATAGTGAGACCCTGACTCAAATCAATCAATTACTCAATCAATCAATCAATCAATCATGCTAGGTGTGGTGTCACACACCTATAATCTCAGCACTCAGGAGCTGAGGCAAAAGGATTGCTGTGCGTTCAAGACCAGCCTGGGCTACATAGTGAGTTCAAGGCCAGCCTGAAATACATAGGAAGACCCTGACTCAAAAATTAATAATAATTAATCATTATATATTGTTAGTAAGAATGTAAAGTGGTACAGCCATTCTGGAAAACAGTTTGGTAGTATCTTGTAAAGTTAAACATGGGTACTATACGATCCTAGAAATTCCCCTCCAGGGTATTTAAAGATTAATGAAAACCAATCTGTGTAGTAAGACCCTATAGATCCTATACTAAATACATTTAAAAAAAAAAAGGGCTGGAGTAAACCTCAGTGGAGGAGCCTCAGGGTTCAATCCCCAGTATCACCACCACGACCAAAAACAAAACAAAGCGACAGTACTGAACGCACACAAAGTGGTACAGGACTGGGGAGTGCACCATCTGAGAAAATCTCATTTTTGCCAAAAAGCCCCTCAGCTGGTCCTGCAGTCCTGGAGTATCCAACCTCGGGCATGGAGGGTGGGGGTAGGGGGACAGTACTTGCGGAGGGATGGTGGCTCCTGCCCTGTTTTCCGACCAAACACAGCCCAGCAGTCAGCAGCAGCAGAGCAGAAGACCTTTCTATACTGGCTCAAGTTCATGCAGCAGGGGCTGGGGAGCCAGCGCAGCGGCACAGTGCCCATCTGGCCAGCGCAAGGTCTTGAGTTCAATTCCCGGTACGTACGTACACACACACACACACACACACACACACACACACACACACAAGCACACACAGTGCAGCAGAAGGCAGCGTACTTTCGTGAATGTAATGGGTTGAACTATGGGCCTAGATGAAGAAGCCTAAGAGGAATGATAAGTTTCTAAAGCTGAAAGTACCCAAAGCCTCTGGACCGCCACGCATTCTTCAGCACCTAAAAATTCAGCAGCTCAAGCTAACAGAGCTGAAGTGGCCCCCACATCTATCTCCTGTCATCCTCTGCTTTTCCAGATGAGGGTACTAGGCCAGGGCAGCGTCCTTCCCCAGGGGCACAGCAAGTGTCCCTCGGAGCCAGGGCTCAGAACACAGGCCTGATACCCCAACATCCCCATTCCTTCACGATGCACTGTTCCACTGACACGTGACAGTGACGAATGCCATTTGTAAGACTCACCTTGGAAACTTAGCTCGTAGTTCCGAATGCCTGCCTGAAATGGTATGACTCCCTTAGGACAGCTCTGAAAGAAAGACTCCAGGTAGGAAGAGTCCACATCAGATCCTGGCTGGTTGTTGCTCTAATTTAAAAAGAGAAAAAACATCATCAGGGTAGGCCTGTAGGCAACCTCTATCATTATATCTTGGTTAGTATGATGGCAGCCATGGCTTTTTGGGGGTGCTCTTTGAGATAGGATCTCGCTGTGCTGCCCAGGCTGACCTTGAACAGGCAGCAGTCCTGCCTCGGCCTCCCAAGTGCTGGGATTACAGGTGTGCACCACCATGCCCAGATTGGGGTTTGAATAGGGACCCATCCTGCCTCCCAAGCCAGGGAGAGCCATGGCACAGACTTTTGTGGTTCTTCCCATCAGGTACCCAAGCACAAGCATTCAGTCCCCAACACCTCGACGACACAGCTGGCAAGTGCCAGAAACATGTGGCTGCTTACAATGCTCTTCTCACACCGTCCCCAAAACATGAGCCACATGGACAGAGCACCTTTGGTGGCCCCTGAAGTAACACCTGTGCGCACCTGCTCCCCAGGGGACATCAACACTCAGCTTCGAGTGTCCCTCAAGAACCTCCTCGTAGGACATTTTGGCTTAGCACATTTGGGGGCATGGTGAAGGCAGGTGAAGGAAGACCCTCGACTTCTTGTCTGAGCTCCAATGGGAGTGCTGGGCTTCAGATGTGAATGACCTCCTTTCCCCGTGTCCCCAACCAGAGTAAGGAAAGAAAATAAATGAGCCTCTGGCCAGTGGGCTGTATTACACCTGAACTTGGAATAAAAAGCAAAGGAAAAAGGAGATGACAGGAAATGGAGAGGACTTTTTGCAAAGGGTAAGGGGAGCTAGAGGTGGAGGGAGGCAGGAAGGAGGAGAAGAAGAGGGACAAAAACAACTGCGGGGAAAATGGAGCTGGAGCTTTGGCAAATGGGAAGCAGAACAGGACACAGAAGGAGCAGGGGGAGA